ATAGATTATTAACAGAAGAAAGAAATAGCACAATATCTACATACCCATGTATTTCACCACAATCATTTTGATCTGTTCACTCGTGTTCACGATTTATGTCTACTTGAAAAGAAAATATTTTACTCTTCGTGGTCGCGTTCCCGGCATGCCACCTCATTTTTTCTTCGGTAATGTGCTTCAAACAGGGCAGATCAGAGGCAAACCGTTGGTTGACATTTTTCAGAAGCTGCAAGCGAAATACGGCGATGTTTGTCAGATTTGGCTTGGTCCCTTCCACTTTTAAATATTCAGTCGAGTCGAAGACATTCAACACATTTTCTCGAATCGTCAAATCTACGATTTATCCGACATGTCTGCTCGGATATTCGGCCTACAAATGCCATCTGGTTTACTCGCCATCAAAGGCCCCAAACACAAACGGCATGTACGCTACATGTTGCCGATGCTAAAAAAATCCAAAGTAGTTGCTCATCTATCGACGATTATTGACTGCAGCGATCGGCTCATTCGTCTCTGGAGAAACAAAGAAGAAAAAACGCTGAATGAAAATATAGTCGGCGATTCGAAACATTTACTTCTTGACATTATTGGTTTTATCGCCTTTGACTATGACCTGCAAACAATTGAAAGTGCGGAAAAAGAGAAAAAGGAATTTACAAAAGCTTTGGACATGATGATTTCTGCACATACAACTATCGTCGCCAGTGGCTTCTTGCCATATCGAGTGCTTCAGTGGTGGCTAAAGTGGAACCCGAGTTATCAACGAGCCATCGAAACGGTCAGGCAGATAGCCAACAAGATTATCGAAAAAGAAGCTGATCAATCAGCAGATACAAAACCAAAAAATATGATCACGCTGCTCGTCTCATCACTCCAAGAAAATGAACAAGAAGAAGCCAAAAAACCGGAGGAGGAGAAACAAGGTGAGCTGTGATTTTAGTCTTAATTGTGAGACTCTTCCGCACTTTTTCAGGTTTATCACGCGCTGAACTCTTGGATGAAATTCTCGTGTCATTTGCTGCTGGTTTCGAGACAACGTCGACTGCTCTTTCATGGGCTATTTTCTACCTTAGTAAACACCCATACGTCCAAGACAAGATCAAACAAGAACTACGAGATAACAAGATAACTACTGACACGTGTCTGACCGCTGATCTACTCGATCGGTTGACGTATATAGATTGTGTAATGAAGGAAGTGTTGCGTTTCGCTCCTGTCGTTGATTGTCAACTACGAACGTTGACACAGGACGACGAAATCAACGGTTTGCAATTGAAAAAAGGAGATTCAGTGTTAACTGCTTTCTACAATGCACACATGGATAAACGATGTTGGACTTTAAATCCTCAAGAATTTTTGCCCGAGAGATTTTTAAACGCGGACAAAAATCACCATCCGTGTGCGTTGGGAATATTTGGCGGTGGACATCGAGCATGTATTGGACAGGATTTGGCACGATTGGAATTGAAAACCATTATTACACGTTTGATGCAGTTTGTGACATTTGTCGATGGTGGTGAAGAGAAAAATAGTGGCGGGAAGAGGCAAGAACTTACCTGTGTACCAAAACATGTTGCAGTCTATATTCATTTTGATTAAAGCGTGACATTTGTTTATCGGTCGCTTGAATAAACATCAGTATTCTTTTTTTTGTTAAATGTGTTGAAACAAGGATGGATCAGGTCATCGCTGCGCTCCCAACCAAATTAAAACTAAATCTTCCAAAAATAACTATCATGTTCACTGTAGTATTGCTAGTGTCTAACTTTCTTGATGTAACTTCGAAGGAACTTTGCCCCCAGGATACCTCCTGGATTCAAATCGTCCTTGATGATTTTTCGAATGTTATGTAATCGAGCGTGCCGACCATGACAGGATTTCAAAATATTTTTGAAAATACTTTATTCGTTGAAATAAAGAAATCTTTTTGGGATCCCCGTTTAGTGTACCTGACTATATAGGCTCATCCCTTTGAAATTCTAGAACAATGAATAATTTCTCAAAATAGCCTAGATACATATATAACACAGTGAAGACGCTGAATCTGGTAAAAGCAAGTTATGGAAATGTTGCTTATTTGCTAAAATCGAGGATAAGAACTCAATATTATATCACTCTTAAAACCTATTAAAGAATCATCTGAGTATGCTGAAAAAGAAATTGAAAAGTGAGTCTTCTCATTGCTATTAGAACTGTGTCATACTATAACTCTTACAATGATTAAGTTAATTTTGAGCATTTTTCTTGCCGTTTCTCTAATTTATCATTCATTCGATAGCATTTAAAAACTTGCAGTAAAACCATGCTGCTCTTTCGAGGAAAGTTTTTACCAAGACTGATTATTTGCACAGTTTCAAACAATTGCTTGATGTCATCGTTAAAGTTTTGAGTATCAGAAGGCATAAAATATATCGAAGAGATTTGGAGAATTTCTTTGCCTAGATTCTCTATCAGAATCCATACTTCTTTTGTCTATATCCATGGCTTCTGAAGGATTTTGAAAAAGTTTTTAAAAGTCTTAAAAAAGTAAGTTTCCGAAAAGGTTTTGGGAATTAAGTTGGTTGTATAATGCGGATTCGAAGAGTAGACTTTCCTAGATAAAGCGAGACTCGAACAGATCTAGCCGATGGTGATGGATTTTTTATTTTTGTCTTAGCTTTAGAGTAAAATGAAGATTAAGACTGTAATATAACAGAAAACGAAATAACATACACCGGTATTGTTCAGTCTATGAAATATTTGGGAGAACGTATGGTCATTGTAATGTTGTTTAGAATCTTGCCTCAAACTATTAAGCTCCAACTGAAACGTATTAAGACATATACTATAAGGCAGATCTTCTGAAAACCTGTTGACTAGTATGTGAGAATAATTTTTTAAGTCCGTTTTAACGTTTAAAAGGGACTTAAAAAATACAAATTCAATATCGTGTGAAATACCGTGAAAATCCGCTGAGGAGAATCCGACTCTAAGAAACGCCGACATACAGACGAAATTTTTGCCCCCGTACATCACCCCATTCAGCATGCTTTTTAATGGGATAAAATTATTACTTTTCATAGACAAAAAAAAGAAAAGTATTGTTGCAATTTGTTATAAACAAAATTTCATGAGAGAACGTTTCTTTGTCCTTTCCATCCTCTTTCTTTTTACTAGGGACCTGTTATATTCAGCATCCTTTTACAAAACATAAAACAATATTTTTCTGTTTCTCTTTTCCTTTTTATTTATGATGATTCAGTGTAATTCATGTTTAAGGTGCTCCAATTGCATTGCATTATGAGTCTGAGAAAGAGTAAAAAGGCATGCAGTTTATGAATTTGCTTACAGAATGAGGATAAAATATTAATGAGTAATCATGTATAATTCAACTTCACCATTATATAAAAACGATTGAATATCTAAATAACCAGACCTTTTAAAAAGAATGCGTAATCATGAAGAATCACCGTTAACTGATCTTCGTCTCTTCATCATTGATATTCAAATCATAAACTACGGAAAATATCACTATGAGGGTGCATTAGTCAACGGTAAACGACATGGTGAAGGGTACTACGTGTCGACGTTCATTGAATGGTGTGGTCATTGGGACAACGATAGGTGGTGTATGGGTTGTTTGACTTTGAAGGCAGCAAATGCTACCATCTTAGGGCGTTGGACTTCTGACAAGTTCCATGGCACTATAGAGAATATTGATGGTGATGTCATGTATCGAGGAAAATGGATCCACGGTATTCCACAGGGAAAAGGAGAACAGCGGTTTCTAAATGGACGGCACTATAGAGGAGAGTTTGTGAATGGTCTCATGCATGGCAATGGCACAATGACGTACGAAAACTGTAAAAAATTTACAGGTAACTGGCATAGCGGTAATCTCTATGTGAATGGAGTGAATGTATCCACGTTAATGAATACTGTACTAAGTCACAATGATAGAATGAGCAAGACGCGGTTATTCTCTGAGCAATATGCGTTAGTGAAACAATTGAAAAAGTTTATCTGTGAACAGTTGCAACAAGTTAAAGAGTATCAGTGGTGCATAATTCTTGAACTAATTTTTGATAATGTTCGAAAAGAACATGTCACTTTTATTGTGAATGATTATATCATCCAACGTCAAACAGCTCTACTTATTGCTGCAAAGAATGACTGCGAAAGTCTTGTACAAATACTGTTAAAACGATTTAGGAATAACACAGAGATCGACGGCAATATTATTGTTAGTCATCAACAAAGAGTTCGCGGTGTAACGCCCTTGTGGTGTGCATTAGCAATGGGCAATTGGAAAATAGCAAAACGACTCATTAGATATAGGGCAAATATTAATCATTGCGCAAAACTCAAATTAACGCCGTTGCATTACGCTTGTGAACGGGATAGTTTAGAAACTATTAAATTTTTGCTCAAGCAAGATACCCTCGATATGAACATTCTGAATTTAGCTGATAAAACATGTTTAATGTCAGCTTGCAATAAACAGCAAAAGAACGTAATCCAACTTCTGCTAGAAACGGGCAGCGCCAACCCAAACGTAAGAAACCAGGCCGGTTTAACTGCACTTCATTATGGGATCGAAACGCGGAATCTTGACATTATTCAGTTACTGGTTAATAACGGTGCACAGAACACCAAGGATATAGACGGACGTAGTCCTCTGATGAAAGCTGCTAT